GGAGCAAGAATTTCCAGGAACATTTGGAACATTTCGTTTCTGAGCAGAAGAGCCGTGTTCAAGTAGTGTTCCGTCGATTACGTATTAATCAATATTCGATTGATTGGTCGGAGGTTATTGACAAAAACAATTTGTCTAAGTCACTTCGTTTCTTTTTGTCCAAGTTGCTTCTCTTTTTGTCCAAGTTGCTTCTCTTTTTGTCTAACTCACTTCCTTTTTTCTTTGTGAGTTTCGGGAATATCCCCATTAATAGGTCCAAGATCCACATTTATGAATTGAAAGGCCCGAACAATCAACTCTACAATCCGTTGGTAGAATCAATAGGTCTTCAAACCATTCATTTGAAAAAATGGAAAGCCTTGTTATTGGATGATCATGATACTTTCCAAAAATCGAAATTCTAGATCAATGGAGGAACAATATCACTATTTTTGTTCAGTAAGATACCAAAGTGGATGATTGACTCATTCCATACTAGAAATAATCGCAGTAAATCCTTTGATAACACGGATTCCTATTTCTCAATGATATCCCACGATCAAAACAATTGGCTGAATCCCGTAAAACCATTTCATAGAAGTTCATTGATATCTTCTTTTTATAAAGCAAATCAACTTTGATTCTTGAATAATCAACATCTCTTCTGCTTCTATTGTAACAAAAGATTCCCTTTTTATATGGAAAAGGCCCGTATCAATAATTATAATTTTACTTATAGACAATTCCTCAATATCTTGTTCATTCACAACAAAATATTTTCTTTGTGTGTTGGTAAAAAAAAACATGCATTTTTGGAGAGAGATACTATTTCACCAATCGAGTCACAGGTATCTAACATATTTATGCCTAACGATTTTCCAATTCGATCCGATCTATTAGTTCGTAGAACTATTTACTCGATCGCAGACATTTCTGGAACACCTCTAACAAAGGGACAAATAGTCCATTTTGAAAGAACTTATTGTTAACTTCTCTCCGATATGAATCTATCTGATTCAGAAAAGAAGAACTTGCATCAGTATCTTAATTTCAATTCAAACATGGGTTTTATTTACACTCCATGTTATGAGAAATATTTACTATCGGAAAAGAGGAAAACACAGAGTCTTTGTCTAAAGAAATGCGTTGAGAAAGGGCAGATGTATAGAACCTTTTGACGAGATAGTGCATTTTCAACTCTCTCAAAATGGAATCTATTCCAAAACATATATGCCATGGTTCCTTACTTCGACAGGGTACAAATATCTAAATTTCTATTTTTAGATACTTTTTCAGACCTATTGCCGATACTAAGTAGCAGTCAAATTTTTTTATCTATTCTTCATGATATTGCACGGATCAGGTATATCATGGCGAATTCTTCAGAAAAAATTGTGTCTTCCACAGTGGAATTTGATAAGTGAGATTTCGAGTAAGTGTTTACATAATCTTCTTCTGCTCGAAGAAATGATTCATCGAAATAATGAGTCACCATTGATATGGACACATCTGGCATCGCCAAATGTTCGGGAGTTCTTCTATTCAATCTTTTTCCTTCTTCTTGTTGTTGGATATCTCGTTCGTGCACATCTTCTCTTTGTTTTCCGAGCCTCTAGTGAGTTACAGACAGAGTTCGAAAAGGTAAATCTTTGATGGTTCCATCATACATGATTGAGTTGAGAAAACTTCTGGATATGTATCCTACATTGGAACCGAATTCCTTCTGGTTAAAGAATATCTTTTTGGTTGCTTTAGAACAATTAGGAGATTCCCTAAAAGAAATGCAGGGTTCTGCTTCTGGCGACAACATGCTATTGGGTGGTGGTCCCGGTCCCACTTATGAGTTCAAATCAATACGTTCTAAGAAAAAAGATTTGAATATTAATCTCATCGATATCATCGATCTCATAAGTATCATACCAAATCCAATCAATCGAATCACTTTTTCTCTAAGTCATACAAGTAAAGAGATCTATTCATTAATAAGAAAAAGAAAAAGAGTGAACGGTGATTGGATTGATGATAAAATCGAATCCTGGGTCGCAAGCAGTGATTCGATTGATGATGAAGAAAGAGAATTCTTGGTTCAGTTCTCCACTTTAACGACAGAAAAATGGATTGATCAAATTTTATTGAGTATGACTCATAGTGATCATTTATCAAAGAATGACTCTGGTTATCAACTGATTGAACAACCGGGAGCAATTTACTTACGATACTTAGTTGACATTCATAAAAAGTATCTAATGAATTATGAGTTCAATACATCTTGTTTAGCAGAAAGACGAGTATCCCTTGCTCATTATCAGACAATCACTTATTCACAAACCTCGTGTGGGGCTAATAGTTTTCATTTCCAATCTCATCGAAAACCCTTTTCGCTCCGCTTAGTCCTATCCCCCTCTAGAGGTATTTAAGTGATAGGTTATATAGGAACTGGACGATCCTATTTGGTCAAATACCTAGCGACAAACTCCTATGTTCCTTTTATTACGGTATTTCTGAATAAGTTCCTGGATAACAAACCTAAAGATTCTCTTATTAATGCTAGTGACTATATTGATGCTATAGACGATATTGATGCCAGTGACGATATTGACGCTAGTGACGATATCGATCATGACCTTGATACGGAGCTGGAACTGCTAACTATGATGAATGCGTAACTATGGATATGATGCCGGAAATAGACCAATATTCTATCACCCTTCAATTCGAATTAGAAAAAGTAATGTCTCCTTGCATAATATGGATTCCAAACATTTATGATCTGGATGTGAATGAGTCGAATTACTTATCCCTCAGTCTATTCGTGAACTATCTTTCCAGGGATTGTGAAAGAGGGTCAACTAGAAATATTCTTGTTATTGCTTCGACTCATATTCCTCAAAAAGTGGATCCCGCTCTAATCGCTCCGAATCAATTAAATACATGCATTAAGATACGAAGGCTTCGTATTCCACAACAACGAAATCACTTTTTCACTCTATCATATACTAGAGGATTTCACTTGGAAAAGAAAATGTTCCATACTAATGGATTCGGGTCCCTAATGGATTCCAAACATTTAAGATCGGTCGCTCAAGATCTTTGGTCTCTACCTGGACCCGATGAAAAAAACGGGATCACTTCTTATGGACTCGTTGAGAATGATTCTTATCTAGTTCATGGCTTATTAGAAGTAGAAGGCGCTATGGTGGGATCCTCACGGACAGAAAAAGCTTGCAGTCAGAGTGATCGAGTGACAATGTTTCTTCGGCCCGAATTAAGGAATCCCTTAGATATGATGCAAAGTGGATCTTGTTCTATCCTTGATCATAGATTTCTCTATAAAAAATACGAACCGGAATGGGAAGAAGGGGAAGGAGCCCTCGATCCGCAACAAATAGAAGAGGATTTATTCAATCACATAGTTAGGGATTTTATCTCAATTAGCTAGTTTCATGTTTTAATAAAGGATGGTTTTTGTTAGAAACTAACTAATTAAACACTTTGTGGTCAAATACCATGGTAATGGTTTTGTATTCAAATTTTTGTGGGAAGATTTCCATTTTGATTACCTAAAGTTAGTAGGAATATGGTATTTCATTTAAGGTGAAAAATTCAAGTTTGTTAATTAATCATGTTGATAATTATTTCATTGTGTTTTTTTGTTTCCTGAATTTCAAGTTAAGGATGAGAATTGATAGAGTATAAAATATATTTTTGGGCTTCAAAGCTTAAAGCCTAGGAATATGTTTTACACTCTATAAAAAATTGTTAATTATTCCTAGAAATCAATGAAAATTGCAATGAATTAACTTCAAATACACACATATTTTTAAATCTATAAATGATACTAAGTTGATTCAAGTTGGAGGTAATAGGTTGTGTTGATAACATTCTAACAATTGGTCATATGCTCTGTTCCGTTTTTATTTGAAGTGTTACACTTATCAAATGCGGCTTTTTTTAAGTGTTGCACATCTTTTATTAGCAAAATGCTACTTCCCCCGTTTTTTAATACTTGCAAAACTTCCCTAGAATAGAAATGTCACTAAATATGTAAATTGCAACACTCTAATTGGGATTTTTTTTTTATTTATTTAAAGTTGTATTATTACCCTTATTTTAATCTCATGGCCCACAAAATTATACTTCTAATAATCTCCGACCCACATTTTAATTGTATTAAATCATGTGAAGCCCACTTTTCTTGAATACCATGAAAAATTGTGTTGCGTGTATTAAAAAACGAAGGAAATACAAGTAATATTATAATTCTATGCTCTTATGATAGCAAATTAAACCCACTACTTCAATTTTTTTTTATTATTTTTTTGTCTCACATCGATTACTTTTAATAACTATATATAAAGCTTACTGTCTTTCATTTACATTTTTATAATACTTCAACTGCTCTACTTACCTCTTATTATAAATCAATTATATTACATAAAATTATGTGTTGGTCAAAGTATAGCACTTAAAAAACGGAGGATGTATTCCCGTTTTATAAAAGACTATCGAAACTAAAAAAGTTTTTTCCCACAATGTGTTTGCCACTTTGCCCAAACAATTGATCGTTTGCACGAACCTTGGTTAAGCCATATTATAGAAAGACTCCTTGTAATCCTCTTCATTTAGCTTCGTAAGCTACTAAAGAAACTAAAAACAAAACACTCCTTGGTGTTTGTGTAATGCTTGGCGTTGTGATCAAGGTTAAGCTTCATAAGCCATATTATAGAAAGACTCCTTGTAATCCTCTTGGTTTTTCTTTCCAGTAGAAAAGCTACGATTCCCCCACATATGTACTAGGTTTTAGTAATCGAACAATGACGTAAATCTTTTTGCGTTTTGTTTATGTTCTTTATTGCATTTACATCTTTTGTTTAGTCATTGGCTATTGTTCCTCAAAAACCAAACACAATGTAACCTATTTCCTAACATCTTTCTTATAATTTTTTTTTTTTTTTTTTTAATATTACCATAATATACATGAGTAACATGACCATGACCATTGGCCTGACTTCATATTTAAATTTAACATAAGAGAGAATCACAACATTATATTATATAATGATACGACGTAACATTTATTAGAGTATATGATTTGATAATCATTTCATCAAAGTTTTACTCTAACAACATAATAAGAAACAACCTTAGTTTCCAACAACCACGTCCTTTTAATATATAATATAACTAGTGTAATACACATACAATTTATTTCCTTTAAAGCCTTAACGTATTTAGTTACCCTTTTGCTCCTCGGTAGTCTTTGTCTCCTTAGGTGGGTAGTGACCACCATATCCACCGTGTCCATAACCGCCATGGCCATATCCACTGTGTCCATAACCGCCATGGCCATAACCTCCGTGTCCATAACCACCATGACCATAACCTCCATGGCCATAGCCACCACCACCGTATCCACCGTGACCATAGCCGCCGCCGCCATATCCACCATGACCATAGCCATCACCACCGTATCCGCCGTGACCATAGTGTTGAGGTTCTACGGCATCATTCTTTTGATCCTTATCTTCCTCTTCCTTGGGTGGGTAGTGGCCGCCGTGTCCCCCGTGACCATAACTTCCGTGTCCGTAAGAGCCATGTCCATAGGAACCATGTCCGTAGTGTCCATGTTTAGACTCTTCCACGGACTCTACAAATTAAATGATAACACGACGTAAAAAATTAATAATGTCATTTTTGTTAAAGAATAATGTCATTTTTTAGTTATCCATTTGTACATGATTACATACAAATAAAAAGGTAGATCAAGAGAAAAAGAAATTGGGAGATCAAGTATTAGACCAAACTTAAGAAAACAGTGGAGATAACAATAAAAATTCAACACAAAAAAGAAATGAGAGAAGTATATTAGCTTGGACAACTATATATGTGTCTTATTATTTGTTACAAAATAATTTTTTTTTTCTCACAAATAATACCCCTTTATTGTAAATAATAAAATTAAAGGTAATATATTCGCCCTTCAAATTGTAAAAAGACACATGCATCTATTGAAAAACCAAGAAAGTACGTAATAGTATGCATTTAAGAGTAATTCTTAGGAGTTGTACAAAACTCACGAGTTTGTTCGTTGGTAGAAGTCTCAGCTAACTCACGAGCAAAGACCTCAGAAGAAGTGAGAAGAGTAGCTGCTAATAGGGCAAGCAGTAAACCCTTTGAGTATGCCATTTGAAAGTTATTTAGGAAATTATTTGCAAGAATACGGCTGAGAATACAACTTTGAGTTTGGATGAGAAAGGCAAAATGGTCGCACACTAGAACATACATTTATAGGCAAATTTATGTGAGAATTGGTAGGTCCAAAAGTAGTTGTGCAAGATTAAATAAAATTTAATGGTAGCATATCGTACATGATATGACATTGTTAGATCAACCTCGACTGTGTTACGGATTAGTGTAGATCAATAGAGTAATTCTTAGTTGATCTTGCGGATTATTAAAATAGCCAAATTCAATCAATTTTTTTTGGTGTTACACCCGTTCTTGTACATTTGATTGGGGATTACACATTATAATTATAGATTTAATTCATTATCGCGGTACAATATTGTTCTCGGTTTTAGATTATGAAGTACTGTAAATTAGTGGTTTTAGGTAATATAGTTCCTCCAAATCTTATTAGTTGATATCTTTAGTGGCTTTCAATGTCAAATATCTTATCTTATGCAATTCAAGATCCCTTACATTTGATCATGCTTAAAAATAACCTACTACAGGACAAATGATCCTTAATCATCCATATATATGTATTTGAGAAACTACCTTTTAAAAAAACGTGGCAGGGAACTATTTATAAGTTTGTTTGTTTTTTTTCGAGAAGTTATTACTTATCAGATTTCGACCGTTGCCTGAACTCTTTCGGTATTGACCTCACGTGAGTGACGCAGCATCCATATATATTGGTAAAAAATGACTATGAACTCCATCCTCAATTTGCATGCAAAAAATTGATTTGCATGCTTTTCGAGACGCTTGCTTATTAGAAGAGTATAAAGTACTTTTGCTAAATTACTGAAAGACTATTTAATGGCTACAACAAAATTGTAGCTATTGTAATTAGTTTTAATCATGGCCCTATATTTTTAATGTTCAATCTTGTCCATTCATCCAATTGATTTTAATAATAATGAAAAAAAAAAATCTGATTTCTTGATTATGATTTATAAAAAATAAAAAAAAAAACAGTTTTACAGTTTTTAAAACAAAAATTGTTAACTTTGCCATTGATGCATATTCTTGCAATTTCTAAATTCAAATGATTCTCCCATAGTCCCATCTCCATTAAATATCAACATTTGTTTTATTATAGTTCATTAACAATAAACCTATCTACTGAATTATATATTACAAGGTCCATGATATTTGCATCAAATTTATCAAAGAATGAATTATCCTCCATTAAAGGAAACCAGAAAAAGGGAGGAAAAAAGAAGAAGATGATAAAAAAAATTGTGAGATTTGTCTCTAATTCTCAAGAAACCAATCAATTTACATTAAAAACAAAAATAAAAAAAATAAAAAATATAAAAATAAAAAATAAAAAAATTCATAACATCAACCAAGATAAATTAAAAATTTCATCCTTCCACCAAATTTTCTAGTATTAAAAAAGTTGATTTTTTTCTCTCTCACTTAATTTATTTTAACTAAATGGATGGATATGATAAACTTTATTAATTGGAGGGTTGTGATTCACTCACTTACAATGGCCACAATTTAATTGTAGCCATTTGAAAACTGTCCAAAATTTTTAGGGTGAGTAGTACATTAATAAGGCCCTATTCTTTTGAGTTGTTCTGCTCTACTCTACTCTACTCTGCCTTGCTCTACTCTGCTCTTCTCTGTTGAAATCTGCTCTGCTCTGCCCTCCTCTACTTATAAATAATAATTAAAAATTATATTAATAATTAATATTTAATAAAAATAATAATAATAATTATTAATATTTAATAATAATTATTAATATTTAATAATAATAACTAATATTTATAAAATAATTAATATTTAATAATAATAATAATTAATATTTTAAATAATAATAACAATAATTAATATTTTAAATAATAATAATAATCAATATAGAATATTAATTGATAATAGTAACTGATATTTAATCATAATTATTAATATTTTATATTATTTAACACATTTTTTAATGTTATAAAAAAAGTAAAAAAATCTTTAAGAAAATAAATAATAATAATAATAATAATAATAATAATAATAATAATAATAATAATAATAATAATAATAGCTAGAGGAATGGTGGCCCAGATTGTATCTCGGTTTCCCACTAATTTATTGTAAGTTGTATGACTTTATCTGTTTTTGAGATAATAATAATAATAATAATAATAATAATAATAATAATAATAATAATAATAATAATAATAATAATAAAATAATGCAATAATAATAGTAACAATTATAATAATATTAATAATAATGATAATAATAATAATAATAATATAAATAATAGTAATAGTAATAATAATAATAATAATAATAATAATAATAATAATAATAATATAAAGCTCTCTCGTTGAGAGGCGTTTAGGGTAGTTTCCTCGACGGTTTTTCCAGCAGTGTTCCGGTAGTGTTTCTCGGCGACGTCCCGGTGGTTTAAGGTCAGTCAAAGGGTTATCGGCGGCGGCCTATAGGTGTATGTCCGGCGGAATTCTTGTTTTCTCGCGTTGCTTTGGTGCAGTTTCTGGTTCGTTTTGCTCGACCATCTTCTGGGTTCGTTTCAGGCGAATTTTGGGGTGTTTTTGGTGCAGCCTTTGATCAATTCCGTTGAGTTTGTTTTGCTGCTGTTTTTTAGGATGATTTTTGTACTTTTCTCAGTGTTGTTTTGTTACGTCCTTAGGTGCGTTTTTCTGGTGAGTTAGGGTGCTATTTTATGTGCTTTTTGGGTGCTTTTTTCTTCCAGACGGTGAAGTTTCATTGTCCCTTTGTGGGTCTTAATGGTTGTCAAGATGGGAGTGGGAATGGCCTTGTTAGAAGTTCTTTGATAAAACATCTTTGTGATTGTCATTGTTGTATTGGTGCGCGAGATATCACACGACATGCTCTTACTTCTAGTTTGGCTGTTTATAATGAGGCGGAAGTTACTTTTCGTGTAAGGAGATTTGGTTATGTGGTGTTTGCTACAAGACGCACACGCATTGTACTGAGTGCCGTCATAGTTCGGGTGAGATTGTGTCACCCCCGGATGAAGGAGATGGTGTTGTTCATTTTGTGCTTTATGGTTTCTCCAAGCCACAAGCTCCCTCTTCTCCACCTCGGCTTGGGCGCTAAGGTGGTTTGGTGCAAGAGCAACATCGTGGTTTTGATGTGGCTCTCCTTGATGGTTTGTTCTCTAGGGGGTTTCGCACTGTGAAGTCTATCCCTCCTAAGAGTCGTTTGGGGTTTTCTCAGGTTCTAAATGGTGCTCTTGATAAGGTGATTTCTAAGCCTGATGACATATCTAATTGGGTCTCTCTATTGGTGTTACCTATTTCCCGGTCTTAAGTGAAACACCGGCATCATGAAGAGAGTATTTCCCATGCTATTTGTTCTTGGAGTGCGCCCAGGGGTAGTTTGCGGCTTGTGAAGGAAACCCTGACAGAGGATTCTCCGACTTTGTCGGTCTTTGATGATGAAGACCTTGATTTGGAAGAGCGTAATATCAAGCAGTGTTGTGGGAAGATATGCGATGGTCATTACACCGTTGCAGTCCGTGTTCTTTCTTCTTCGGGAATTGCTCCTTATAATGAGGCCACTCTTGCAGATTTACAGTCTAAACACGCTGCTTTTCTAGCTCCATCCTTGCCTGATATACCTATTGATGGCCTTTATCTCGTTACTACTTCTGTTGTTTTGGATCGGATTAAGAGTTTTCCACGTGGTAAATCATGTGGTAGGGACAATTTACGTTCTTTGTACCTTCTAGATTGCTTGAGTGGTGCTGTTGTGGCTGTATCAGATGAGTTAGTTGACTCTATTTCTGGGGTGGTTAATCTCTTTCTAGCTGGTAAGTGTCCTATGGAACTAGGAGAGTATATTGCTAGTGCTCCTCTTACCCCACTTGTCAAGCTCGGTGGTGGCATTTGTCCTATATCTGTGGGTACTATTTAGCGGCGTCTCGTTTCGAAGGTGGGTGCTGTTATGGATGGTCAGTCTTTAGGAAGTTACTTTGATGTTCTTCAATTTGGCGTTGGGGTTTCTTCAGGTGGTGAGGCAATTCTTCATGCTGTGAATCGGTTGATTGAGGACCGTGGCTCTGATGTGGGTCTTTCTATGTTGTTAATGGATTTTCAAAATGCCTTCAATCTTGTTGATCGTACGGTCGTGTGGTGTGAAGTTTGTCGTCATTGTTTGGGCATTTCGCGGTGGGTTGAATTCTGCTATTCTAATCCAGCCAAATTGTATTATGGGGACCAATCCTTATGGTCGTGCCAAGGAGTGCAGCAGGGTGATCCCCTTGGTCCTCTACTTTTTGCTTTGATTTTACAGCCCCTAGTTTGTAAAATTAGAGATGCTTTTGACTTATATCTTCAGGCATGGTATTTGGATGACGACACTGTTATTGGTGACACTTTGGTGGTGGGGAAGGTTCTGCAGTTGATGATGGAGGAAGGACCTCATTATTTTGGGTTACATCTTAATGTGGAAAAAACTGAAGTTTTCTGGCCTACAGAAGACCCTTAAAGCAAGCTTGTGGGTGTGTTTCCACCTAATATTGCTCGACCTTTGCGTGGTGTTAAGTTGCTTGGTGGTTCTGCTAGTTCCGATTTCCGGTTTTAGTGGTGAGCTTGTGATGCAGAGGGTGACCAAGACCATTGCGCTTATGGAAATGGTTGATATGCTTGATTCCGCGGTGTGAGCTATTGTTACTTAGGGCATATATCGAAGTTTCTAAACTCTACTTTCCATTACGTACTTATCCTCCTAGTACATTTGAGACGGCTCAACGCACATTTGACGAGGCTCTTCGATCTTCTTTGGAGCGTATTGTTACTGCTTTGGGGCCTGGGTTTGGTGACTGGTAGCGCCACCTTACCATTTGTGTTTGGAGGGCTTGTGGTATATTCCGCAGGTGATGTTCGTCATTATGCTTTTCTTGCTTCTCGGTTGCAGTCAGCTGGGTTGCAGACACAGCTTTTACGACATGCTGGCATTGTTGGTCTGGGATAAGCCTTTAGAGATGCATTGAGTCTTTTTAATGGAATAGTGGAATCTGACATTATGAGTAATCCAAGTGAGATCGTTGCC